CTGGACCCATGAACTCTGGGCTGCCAAAGTGGAGTGCACAAACTTAACCACTATGCCACCGGGCCAGCACCTAATTCTTTTCTTTTCTTTTCTTTTGCTTTGGAAGATTGGCCCTGAGCTAACACCTGTTACCAATCTTCCTGTTTTCCTTAAGGAAGAGTGTGGTTGAGCTAACATCTGTGCCAATCCTCCTCTACTTTGCATGGGGGACACCACCACAGCATGGCATAAGGAGCAATGCATAGGTCTGCACCCAGGATCCAGGCCTGTGAACCCAGGGCCATCAGAGCAGACCATGAGAACTTAATCACTATGGCACCAGGCCAGCCCCCTGACCCCTAGTTCTTTTTGACACTATTGCAAAAGAATTGTTTTCTTAATTTCATTCTTGGAATGTTCCTTCCTAACATAGAAAAATCCTTCTATATTGATTTTGTATCCTGTAATGTTGCTAAACATGTTTATTAGTTCCAGTGGGATTTTTAGATAAATTTCATAGGATTTTCTACATATAGGATCATGTAATTTATAAAGAAAGACAATTTCCCTTCTCCCTTTCCAATCTAAATACCTTTTTTTTTCTTTTCATCTCAATGCACTGGGCACAACCTCCAGTACAATGTTAAATAGAAACAGCAATAGTACCCATTTTAGCCTTGTTCTTAATATTAAGGGGAAAGCATTCTTTCACCATTAAGTATGATGTTAGCTGTAGGTTTTTCATAAATGCTTCAGGTATTAGGAAGTTGAAAAAACCTACTATTGGGTTAAAGAATAAATCATAATAAAATTTAAAATATATACAGAATTTAATATAGTGAAATTACTATATTTCAAAACTTGTGGGATGGAGGTTAAATGGCACTTAAGAAATTTGTCTTAAATGCTTATATTAAAAATAAGAATGACAAAATTAATGAGGTAATCAAATAATATGACTTTTTAAAATTAGCTAACAAATACTAAACAGTACTATCCTTAACCTGATAAAGTTTCTCTACAAAAAAACGTAGATCAAGCACCACATTTAATAGCCAAATTGTTAAAAATCATTTCCTTCAAACTAAGAACAAGACAGAGCTATCTTCCTCCACTATTTCTATTCAATATTGTGCTAAAGTTCTAAATCAATGCAGTGAAGCAAGAAAAAAATTTTTTTTAAGTATACGGATTGAAAAGGAAGAGGATAACATATTATCTGACTATCTATATTAAAATATGTTGACACTACAGATAAAATTTGACATTAATAAATAAAGTTTAGCAATGTATTTGGACAAAAAATAAGTACACAAAAGACAACTTTACTTTTGTAAACAAGCAACAAATATCTAGGTAATGTCATTTTTAAAAAAAAAATATTTATGAGATACATAAATATGCAAAATATGATCTCCTTAGATATGCAGAAATTATCAACAAAATCATAGAAGTTTAATAAAAGACATTAAAGAAAACTTAAACACAGGGATGTACCATATTCATGGATAGAAAGATGCAACATCATAAAAATATGCATTCTCCCAAGCTGATCTATATGTTCAGTACAATTCTAATAAAAATTCCAACAAGATTTTTTATGGAACTTAACTGGCTAATAAATTTTAAAATTTAGAGGAAAAAAGCAAAAGGTGAAGAATTACCAAGATAGACCTAAAGAGAAAGATCTAGGCAAAAAGCCAGGTGATGGGGGAGGGAGGGTGTGCCCCATAAGAAACAGATTTATTGTAAAGATATAGTAATTAAGACACTGTGCTATCAGTGGAGAGAAATACAAATGGACCAATGAAATAGAATAGAGAACCCAGAAAAGGACTCATGACATGCGTGGAAACTTGATTTATGACAGAAGTGACACTGCAGGTCGGCAAGATATCGAGTGCCTATGCAAGAAGTGGTTCTGGGACAACCAGGGAAAAAATGTGAAGGAAAGCTTTTAATCACATTTAGAAGAAAACATAGAATATCTTTATGACCTTACAGTTGGGAAGGCTTCTTAAGACACACGTTAAAAATTCAAACTAGAAAGGAAGAGATTGATAAATCTGCTGATATTTAAATTAAAAACTTCTATTAATCAATACATCATAAAGTAAAAACAAATTACATCTTTAAAAGACGTGAACTAGGTGAAGATATTTGCCACACATTTAATCAGCAAAAGGTTAGTTTTTAGCATACAAAAAAACTACAAATAAGAAAGAAAAAGACATGAATTATGAATAACCATCCCTAGCAGATAAAGCAAGAATGGCTCCTAGTAGATTGGTAATATTATCTCTAGCTGGATTGTGAGTGATTGTCTTTTATTTTAATCATAGATGATAGATAGGTAGACAGACATAAATACAATTAAAATATTCTTTTGTAGATTTTCAGTAGTTAATAACAACTTGACGAAAGAAAAACAAAATAAATTTTTAAAAAGCAGAAAGAGGAAATTAATAAAGAAAAACCTGAAATTAATAAAACGAGAAACTGATACATTATAGACATAAGGTGAACCACAAAACAGAATTTTTTTTTTTGAGGAAGATTAGCCCTGAGCTAACATCTGCTGCCAATCCTCCTCTTGTTGCTGAGGAAGGCTGGCCCTGAGCTAACATCTGTGCCCATCTTCCTCTACTTTATACGTGGGACGCCTGCCACAGCATGGCTTGCTGAGCGGTGCCACGTCTGCACCGGGATCTGAACTGGCAAACCCCGGGCTGCCGGAGTGGAACATGCGAACTTTAACCACTGCACCACAGGGCCAGCCGCCAGAATGTTTTCAAGGTTGATAAAATCCTCTGTTAAGCATTACTAAGGAAAATACAAGATAACAAACAAAAAGGTGAAGAATGCATAAAGCAATATAACCAGAGATACAAACAAAAGAAATAAAAGTAGCTAATACTTACAAAAGAGTTGCAGTGCGCCAGGCACTGTTTTAGATACTATGGCATTTAATTTTCACAAGAATCACAAGTATTATGTCATTGAATTTTCACAACAGTTCCAGACATGAAATAGGTTTCATTTTTATTCCTATTTGCCACATGAAAAAAACTATAGCACAGAAAGGTCAAAGGATTTCCCCAAGGTTACATAGCCAGTGAGTGACAGAGCTGGAATTAGAATCTAGGCAGCCTAAGACTTCAGTATGCATGTTCAATCATCCCTCCAGACTGCCTTTCTTCAAAGGTTCATCTCATAGAAGGTTAGAGTCCAGAGGACCCTTCCAGACCGCTTAACCCATTGTTCTCATTTTACAGAAGAGGATTTTTTTTTAACATTGTCCTAAAAATGAAACAAATTATCTGGAGAGACTTACAGGAGTAAGAGTAGACGGTGGTGACCTAGACAACAAGTACAAAAATGATAAGAGAATACGCGCAGCTCGTGGCAGTGAATCTGAAAATCTAGAGGAAGAAAATAATTTTTTTAGCAAAGTACAAATGATCAGACTGACTTAATAAGCAGGAAAAAAACCTAAAATAAAACCAATAATCAAATAAAAATTGGAAAGGTAATTAAAGATCTGCCTTTTAAAAAGACACAGTCTCAGATGGTATATATCATTTTTAAAGAACAGATAGTTCTATTTCGTTTAAATTATTCTACACTATAGGAAAAGAAGAAAGAATTTAAATACATTTTATAAAACTAGTTTACCCTAATACTAAAACATAATAAAGACAATATAAAAAGACAATAGGCCAACTTTACCTTTGAAAATAGATGCTAAGAGTCTAAACAAAATCTTTGCAAATCAAATCCAAATGTCTATTAAAAGAAAATCATTTCATGACCAAGTAGAATTCTAGGAGACAAAAACAGTTTCACATTAGGAAATCTATGTCTTCAGATTCACCAAGGGAACAAAATAAAGGAGGAAGATCACATGATTATATCAAGAGCTATTAAAAAGAATTTGACAAAAAGCCAGCAGCCATTTCTAGTGACAGCCCATGTCTATTAAGTGCTCTCTCTGTGTCAGGCATTGTTCTACGTGCTCCGTTGCATTACCTTAATTCTCCTAACAACTGTATTGCTACAATGATTGTTATTCCTATTTTATGAAAGAGAAAATTAAAACTCAGAGAGGTTAAATAATGTCACATATATAGGAAATGATGGAGCTAGGATATGAACCAAGGTAGCATGGCTGTAGAACCCACATCTTTATCAGCTATGCTACACCACCTCTAATAAAATCTCTAATTAGCATGAAAAAGAAATCAGTATACTTAAATATGATCACCATTAATTATTAAAGGTTGACAGTAAACTTTACAATAAAAGGCGAGATTTCCATGAGAATTCAGCGTCAGGATCTTTGTGAGGTTGTATTACTATGTAGCACCGTTCTTCCCTTCCTGATTCTAAACAATTTAGAAAAAGGATAAAATATAATCAGACAAGAAGCAAAACATCAATTGTATTACTGTAAAGGCTAGATGAGGGCAAATGGATTTCACCTGTGGGAAAACCTTTATGAAACTAGGCTCCACTGTTAGGTGGACTTTGCTGACTCAGTCATGGATGCACTGGACCCAGGTAGGTATCTACTTGTGAGGGGACCAGCCAAGCATGCTTGGTTTATTTTTCTCAAGTTTATCAATGAGGACAGAAAGCCCAGAAATATCATGCGTGATTGAGCTCCCTCTACATAATTCCTCTTATTTAGAAAGATTTAATTTAATTCAATCACAAGATATAAATTAGCAAGGACAGAACACTTACAGGGGCAACAAGACTTTGAGAAAGGCAGAACACTCTTTGTCTCACTTGGTGAGATCTTAGGGGCTGGGATAAAGGAAAAGGTGAGGGAGCATATGGGTGTCTACCATGTGCTGAGCGCTTTACCTGCAACATCTAATTGAATACTTAATTTAAAACTCACAACAATTAAAACATGAGATATCTGTGACTCAGAAAAGCTAACTTGCCCAAGTTTATGCAGTTTGAAAGTGACCAAGTGGCTATTTGGCCAGGGGAAAAAGTGAACAAAGACAATAAAACATCATGTGAAGGTTGTCATGAAGTTGTTGTTACAGTATCAGTCAAGTAATTAGACAATCAAAAAAATTTTAAGCCAAGGAGTCAGTTTTCACAAAGAAGAGATTGTAAAGAATGGGGAGGATTTCCCCAAGCAGCCAAGGTCTTCAAGTGAGTTAAGGGGAGAATTTTATTATGAATAATATAAATGTCAGTTTCTGATAATAGAATAAAACATTCACAAACATGGAAATATGAAGCATCTGAACAAAGGCATAACTAAATCTTGCCAATGGGTCCAATTATGCAACAAGCAGACACTCATTTCTCACTTGTTTTTAGTCTCTGTGACATCAGTAGATGCAGAAGTACCTCTAGACCAGAGAACATACCCACTACTCAAGGGGCGAGCATGGCAATGTGCTCAGATTAGAACCACATAAGGTAAAGTTCCCTCAGCTCTCTAAAGACATGTTGGTAATGAGCTGAGAAGATCATTCCATTATTTTCCTTCTCCAAACCTTTCTTAAAGCTTCTTTCACATCCTTGTTTCTCAAAGAGTAGATAAGGGGGTTCAGCATTGGAATCACCACTGTGTAGATTACAGCAACTGTGCGGTCTTGGGTCAGGGAGTAGCTGGATGTGGGGCGCAGGTACATAAAAAGGGTTGTACCGTAGAAGAGGCACACGGCAGCGAAGTGGGAAGCACAGGTGGAAAAGGCCTTGAACCTACCCTGGGCTGAGTTCATTTTCAGGATGGTGATGAGAATTAAGAGGTAGGAGATCAAGATGGTGAGGGTGCAGCTCAAAAGGTTGAAACCAGCAAAAATGAAGAGTAGGATCTCACACAACGAGGTGTCCACACAAGACAGAGACAGGATGGGCGGGCCATCACAGAAGAAGTGAGTGACCACGTGAGCGCCACAGAATTTCAGACTGAAGATACAGCTTGTGTGGATAAGAGAATTGAGAAATCCTGCGCTGTAGGAACCAACAATCAGACAGGCACAGACCTCAGGAGACATGGTGATTGGGTAGAGCAGGGGGTTACAAACAGCAGCATAGCGGTCATAGGCCATGGCAGCAATGAGATAGCACTCAGTGGTGGCGAAACCCGCATAGAAGAACATCTGAGACATGCAGCCAAGATAGGAGATCACCTTCCTCTTGGCCAAGAAGTTCACCAGGGTCTGAGGGACAACCGTAGAGGAGTAGCAGAAATCCAAGAAGGAGAGGCTCTTCAGGAGGGAGTACATGGGTGTGTGCAGGGTGGCACTCACATGGATCAGAAGGAACATGACCAGATTCCCCAGCAGAGTGATGGTGTACATGCCCAGGAACACCACAAAGAGCAGCGTCTGGAGCTGGGGCTCACTGGTGAGGCCCAAGAGCTCAAACTCAACCCCTTGGCTCAGGTTTGCCCCTTCCATATTTCTCCAGTGCTCTTGGATGTGGTAAGAGGGGACCACCTGAAATGAGGTGGGACACCCGGGGGCCCTCACTGGGTTTAGTTCTGCCCTCAGGACAGCCTTCTGAAGATAGGTCTCACTGAGGAAGTCTGGCTTTATAGACGGAACTCTGTCATGCAGAAAGTCTTCTCTACTTGGTTGGTTAGTTAGGAAGCATTACTTGAGCAGCAGTGGAAAATATAAAAGAAAAATACACAATTTGGTCTCTCAGGGATCTTAAAAAAATTCTAAATAATAAAATAGTTACTTACCAAGTATTTATTGACAGTCTTCCATATGCTTAGCTCTGTATTCCCCCCGCCAGGAATTCAAGAGTGTCTTACCTCAAGAAGCTTACATTCTAGAGAGAGTACATTTCCTGTTTAAGTACACAGGCTCTGGCATCAGACTGCCAAGGTTCCAAGCTGGGACCTCACCACGAACTAGCTGTGTAAACTTGGGACTCTTACTTAACCTCTCTGGGTTTCAGTTTTTCTCATCTGTACAATAGGGAAAATAGCACTAATCTCAAAAGATTGTTGTAAGAATTCATTGAGTTAATTCATGTCAAGCACTTGAACAAAGCCTGACACATTGAGAAAGTTCAAAGAATGTTAGCTTTGCTTATTCTCATTGGGGAGACAGACCTAACACATAACGAAACAGGATAAATAAAATGAAACAATGACAAAATTTGGCAAGCAGCCTACCACCAAACAATATAGACAGAGACACATGTGCTAAGCAAGAGTGACTAAACAGGCCTTCAGAGGATCCTGCATGTTCAGAGGAATTGGAGGTGGTTCATTAGTTCAGCTGTAAAATTGTCTCTGAACTTGGCACAAGCCAGGCACTACTGTGGGTTCTGAAGGGGATGAGGTTTGGTGATGTGGAGAGATAGGGATGGTGCAGGGCTGTAAAGAGCAAACTGAGACCTTGTACTCGGCAGCATCAGCCAAGGGGAAGGTGCCAACCATTCTTCACAAAGGCACCAGTCATTTCCAGTGAATAGAAATCACCCAGGACTCAAGGGCTGTTGGGGCTAGTGGGAAAGGAACAGCCCTTCCCCAGAACTGAGGCTTTGTAAGAATGTCTTTTCTATTCAGAGAATGAATAAGGCTATGGATTCATGACCTAAACACCACACTCTCTTCTGCTCCATTGGCCGGTCGGCCACTGATGTTCCTGAATTACTTCTGGGGTCTGGAGTCCGTAAGCACCCTCTGAGGACCCACAGTTATGAAGACTTTGAAGCCAGCATATGTGATTGAAGTAGGACAGAAAAGGGCAAAAGTGAGCCCCTTCCTCTTGCCCTGAGGAGAGTTAATGAATAATACAACTGTAAAAGATGTTGGGAGGATTCTGGAGAGGAAGGAGCTGCACTGAGCAGGCAAAGATTCTAGTTCATCCCGCTGGCAGAGTTTCCAGAATCAGCAAACTGCCAGGGCAAGGGAAGACTCTGACGTATGGATAACTATGTTTAGCTGTCAAGGAGGTAATGAAGGCACTATGGCTGCTGATAGAATACTGTGAGTGGTGACAAGAAGCAAGCATTGGAATGCCCAGAGTAACATCCCCTAATAAAATTGATACGCTCAAAATACAAGAAGACAGATTTGAACATGTAGCACTGGTAACTTGTTTTAGAGCACGTGAAGCATAACTCTGATTCATTTGATGTCACTGAGATGTAACATTCAGCCGTTCTTAACCCAACAGCTGCTAGTTTGTAATAGACCCCATTATTACAAGAATGTGGGCAGCTCTAGATTTGGGTTGCAAATGTCACCGGCTCCTCTGGCGTTAAAAGCCAACTCAGCTTGAAGGCAAATTACAAGGACTTCAGAGAAATGACTATAAAAATCCCAGGATGGAATAACTTACAGGAACTTCAAGGAAGTTGAGGAACGGTTGTTGATTGCAGAGTAGAACGTCTTGAGACCCAGCTTCACATCTTCTTTCCTCAGTAGACTGTTTCATCATTGATGATGGGTCTGCAAGTATCTCTCTACTTAAAAGAATGGACAAAAGCAGAAAAAAGTAGGAATGTGGCCAATGCTCAGGATAGTGTAGATGAGGTGAGAAGGTGGGATGGGATAGGGTTGCAGGGGGGAATACAGCGGATAGCTAATCAGAGCCTCCAGATTTATTACTTGCTTTAAATCCACTCTCTCTTTTCTCCTCCCCTTTCCTCTCTCATCTCTCTTCAATTTGCACTAAATTCAAAACTGTTCAGAATATAGAGAGTTAGTCAAGCAAGAGATTGTGGAGAAACTGAGACCTCTGACAGTTTTTCAAAGGATGCTGGAATAACCACTATTTGGGTTAGCTGCAGTTTGTATCTCTGAATGAAAACTAGCAAGGAAACTCAAGAGTGGTCTTATCGTACGGAAATGGATCAGGGCATGGAAGAGCTAGGAGTGACAGCAGATTCCTGGGGTCTGTAGATGAGGGAGCAGGAGGCAAGGGGCTTTATTTCTACCTGCCTCTTCGTCCTCCTCCCTAGGATAGCAGAGTGGGAGCACATACAGAGAGCAGGCAGCCAGAGGAAGCAGCCGGTGTCTCTTTGACAAACAGTGATCCCGAACAATGGCTCTTAAACGTTGAGATGCCATACCCAAGGTTCTCTGGAGAAGCTTGTCGTATGTGCAGATTCCAGGTCTCAACCTCAGAAAATTTGATTCAATAAATCTATAACTGGGCCCAAAAATCTGATGATTCTGGAACAGGTGGTCTCTGAACCACACTTTGAGAAACACTAAACCATGTGGTACCTTCATGAGCAGACAGCTCTTCCTCCTGAGCCACATATAAGTATCCTTTTCTAAGTTACCAGAATTTCCCATGTCCTGGAAAACCAGCTTGTGGCTAGAAGAGTTGTCCTGGACATTCTCTTTCTTCCAGAATACATGTCAGTAGTTAACAATTTCCAGAAATCTGAGTATTACCTGATGATAATCAAACACCAAAAAATTTCTTCCTTCAAAGTTGCTTGAGATGTTTTTAAGCAAACCATTTAATTCCAGCAAAGCCCATGACTTGCTGGCAGAGCTGCTGCTCTGGGTTCAGAACACGAGGCTTCAGTAGAAAAATAGTAAAGACAAAGCCAGACTCATTGGGTCTCTAGACTGAGTCTGGGGATCAGACAGAACCTGCTACCGACTTTAACCTCTCACATGGTGAGGGGAATGAGGCAGCCCCACTTCCTGAGAGGTCCTCACAACTGATTCTGTACTGGCAAGGGAAAACCCCAGGGCCATCTTTTCCCCTGGGCAACCCATCAGCTCACGAGTGAGGAGGACAATGTGTTCATTGACGAGGGTTTAGGAGGCAGGTGAGGAAGGAGAATAATTGGCCCCATGTAGACCATTACCATGTTTGCAAAGTTACTAGACTCTCCAAGGGTCTCTACCGCTGAGGAATCAGGTGACCGGGAAACTGGAAATGAAGGGAATGGATCCACACTAGATCCCTGTCAATATGCTGATCACCACCCCCAAAGGACTTCTCTAGCTTAACCCAAAATTTAACTCTTATGTGATTATTATCTGTATTTTCTCTACACTGGAAAACTAAGTTTTCAGTTTTTCTTTTTTTTACACCAGTTACCCAATGTACACCGTAACCTAGATTACAGCTGAGGACTTCCCTGCCCATCAAGATCATAGTAAAATTAGAGGTATGTGATTTAGTTTCCAAATATTTGGGGATTACCTAGGGATCTTTCTGTTATCGATTTCTAATTTAATAGCATGTGGTCAGAGAACTTTGTATGATTTGAATGCTTTCAAATTTATTGAGACTTGTTTTATGGCCCAGAACATGGTCCATCTTGGTGAATGTTCCATGTCCAGTTGAAAAGAATGTGTATTGTGCTGTTGTTAGTTCCAGTGGTCTGCAATTGTCAATTGGGTCACATTGCCTGATATCGTTCAAGTCTACTGTATCCTTTCTAACTTTCTGCCTTCTTATTCTATCAAGTATCGACAGAGGAGTATATTGAAATCTCTAAATGTAATCATGAATTTATTTATTTCTCCTTGCAGTCCCTAGGCTTTTACCACATGTATTTTGAAGTTCCATTATGAAGTGCACAAAAATTTAAGATTGTTATGTCCTCTTAATAAATTTACCCCTCTCTCATTATAAAATGACCTTTTTTAAGCCTTATAATATTTTTTGCTCTGAAATATACTTTGTCTGATATTAACACTGTCACTACAGTTTTATCTTGATTACTATTAGCATGGTATATCTTTTTTGATCCCTTTACTGTTAACCCTTTATTTCAACTTTTCTGTACCAGTATGTTTGCAGAATATCCCCCAAGCAGACCTGAAATTGGGTCTTCTAGGATGATGATATGTCTGGAAAATTTATTTTGGATGTACCTTGTCACACAGTAAAGATTCAGGAATGTTTTGGGTCTTTTTCAGAAGAGCTGGGATGGGCTAGGCAGAAATCAAACAAACTCTGTGAAAGGCAACTTTGGGAAGGATGGGCTAGGATCCCCACCCCAATCGGATGAACATCTTTGTGGAGACCTGAAAGTCAGCGATAATTGTCACATTGATAGAGTGCTTCTGTATCTTCTTCTCTACGCAGGTATCTATATTTTGCTAATTTCTCATACCCTTTACTTACAGTAAACAAATTTGTGTCCTTTATTTGTGTCCATTAACTGGTTTCACATTAAATCACTTTGAGAACCAACACTCAAATTTTCGGGTGTGGCTTGTATAAACAGAATATATCTGGAATTTTCTCTTTTAACCAATCAGTCTATCTCAGTTTTTACATAGGTGACATTTTTTGGGTTTTGGTTTTTTGCTTTTCTTTCTTTCTTTCTTTCTTTGTTTAAAGTAATTTTTTCAGCTGTCTGACATATTGAATTTATTTTTATATTTCACTTTGAGTTTTCCATTTATCATACTTTGTCCAATTTGCCACCCTCTGCTACTCTCTGACCTTGTTCCTGTTTCCTTTTGGATTAAGTTTTCTTTGTTTTTCAATGCACATTTTTTTCCTTCTACTGATTCCTCTATTGCTATTAGTAGCTACCCTTAAATATTTAACAATCATATTTAATTTAACAGAGTCTATCAAATATGCTTAAATCCATGAGTTCATAATGATA